TGATCAATACACAAGTGATCAATACTGTTGCTGATCAGTATTTATTGACACACCTGTCTGCCCCTGCAGTGAGAACAGGTGTGCTGAGCTCAGTGAGGAGTTAACCAATCAGAGAGCAGAGTTTTCCTGTCTGAGGGCGGAGCTTGAGTCAGAGGGCGGAGCTCTGCGAGGGAGACTGGAGGAGATGGAGCGATGGGAGGAGGAGGCAACAGGTGAGGAGACGCTCATCTGTCAGACACCTGTAGAGAGCCCCGCCCACACAGAGGGTGGAGACCAGATACTGGCTGCTGATTGGCTGATGGGTGTCGTCGTGTGTTTGTGTGTCAGAGCTGCAGCGAATCGTGTCAGAGAAGGACAGACTGGTGGAGGACAGTCTGCGACAGGTGGAGACGCTGAGACGAGGTAACCAATCAGAGAGGCTCAAAGGAACAGTACGATTTTACCTGCACAGCTGGTGAGGGCTGGAGGGGGCGGAGCCTGGAACCAGACTGTAGAGAGGCTGAACTCTGAATGTTTTCTTAAAAAATCACCAAACTGTAGATCTTCAGATATTTTATTAATCCGTTTTAAGAGTTGGACCTTTGAGGCCTCCTCAGAAGGATTCACATGTTCTCTGTGAATCTGAACTCAGAGCTGCAGCACCTGAAGGAGGAGCTGCAGAGGAGGCAGCAGGAGGAGAAGGAGAACCTGGTGGAGGACAAGAAGGTGTCGGTGGTGGAGGAGCTGAAGGAGGAGATCCAAAGACTGCAGGAGAGGAGGAGGAGGGGCGAGGAGGAGCATCAGGGGAGGCAGTTCGAGGCCGTGAGGAAGGAGGTGGACCGACTCCAGAGACTGAAGGAGGAGACTCACCTGCAGGGAAACACACAGGTGAGTCTGGATCACTGCAGCTGGTTCTCTGATCATTAGATGAAGTTACTGCAGAAGCAGATGTCCTGGACCACCGACAGCTGCAGGTCTGTGACAACTAATCATCTCGTCTCATCAGGACGTCAGCGTTTCTCCTCTGAGGTCCAACGAGGCCAACAAGAAGAAAACCCCTAAAACCGGCTGCAGGAAGAGGAAGAGCTGCGAGGTGGAGGTGACGTCTGCTCCGCTACAGCAGCAGCAGCAGGTTGGCTCTGTAGGAGCTGCACCGCTGAAACGTGTGCTTGTGTTTCAGGAGCTGGTGTTCAGCGAAAACAAGAGGAACAGACCGAGGGCCAACACTCGCAGCGCCAGACAGGTGAGCATCAGAGCCCACAGGTGGGGGAGCACCTGGCCGAGAGCTGGAAGGTAAACGTTGTTCTGTGCTGCAGGAGAAGAGAGACGGAGCTCTGCAGAAGATCGGAGACTTGATCCACAGCTCGCCCTCCATCCTCAGCAGCAGAGGTCAGTGTTTGTGGGTCTGTGGTGCAGTGACAGCATCAGACAGCAGGGGGCGCCTCTGACAGAATCATACAGGGAGAGTCAGGAGCAGTACGGCGGGTTTGGGTTCATGTCTGTCTGCAGCTCTGTGGAACCAGAACATGGAGGAGGAGGAGAGAGAACTCAGAGACGTCTCCTGGCAGCAGGACTGTGTCAGAACCATGGAGACCAGTAGAAATAAAGTAGAAGTAGAAGCAAAACTCACCTGTTTGTGTCGCATTTTGGTTGTTGTGTTTGCTTTGAGGCGATTGTGCATCATGTCTGAGTCGTGTTGTTGTCACCGATCACTTCAACCTGAGTTCTGCTGCCAGCGGCTGCAGTCGGAGCTTGTACTGATCCTGTTGGTCGTCTCTGCAGCTAAAACCATCATCGGCCTCGTCAGTGGACACTCTGTGGAGAAGGAGACGGCCGTCACCACGGCAACCAAACCCCGGCGAGGACGCAGGAAGCTCTACAAGACGGGCGCCTCGTCGCCGCTGCTGGACTCTCCGCTCACGGTGAGACAGGGCTTCCATCTGGGAGGACGTACAGGTTCATCCNCTCGTTGCTCCTCTCTGCTGTAGATCTGGATGAGTGTCCGAACTGTGACTCGGTGTTTTCGTCTCTGGAGTCGGAGCAGAGGGAAACATCCAGACTGCAGAAGGAGAACAAAGCTCTGGTTAACGGCATCTTCCAGCTGCAGACGGAGGTGCTCCTCCTCTTCTTCTGCTCCTCCAACATCTAAACTTCTTTGTCTCAAACTTCTTCTCCTAATACGACTTTGGATTTCCAGGTGACCAGTCTGCAGACGCAGCTCAAACAGCAGATTGACAGGTCTGACAGCCTCTCAGAGGAGTTCAGCACCACTAAGACCCGCCTCCACGACCTGGAGAGCCAATCAGAGGAGAAGGCCAGCTCCATCAACAGCCTGACGCAGGAGGTGGAGCGTCTGAGACAAGAAGTCAAGGTGTTTTCTCGCTGTGATGTCAGCCTGAACTAGGACGGGATGGTTCATGTGAGAGTGATATTGATTACCGATTGATTGTTTTAGGACGAGGAGGGGCGGAGCAGCAGCAGCAGCAGTGTTTTCCACGCTGCCATGGAGGAGCTAAAGAAGGAGAGTCAGGCGGCGCTGCAGAGGTCAGCTCAGAAATCAGAACAAATAGAGGAGCTGGAGAAAGAGAAGAGGCAGCTGGAGGAGACTCTGATGCACAGGTGATCAATACTGTTACTGGTCAATACACAGGTGATCAATATCGTTACTGATCAGTCCACAGGTGATCAATACTGTTACTG